TTAAGAAAAGATTAACTTTTGAAATTAAATTTTAGGCAATAGTTTCTTTCTTTCTTCCTTTCTTCCTTCCTTCCTTTCTTTCTTTCTTTCTTTCTTTCTTTCTTTTTTTTTTTTCTGGTGCTGAGGATCAGACCCAGGGCCTCAGCTTGTGCCTAGTGGAAACATGTTGTACCTGTGACCTGTGAACCATACCCAAATGTCTATGTACTCCCTTTTCTTTCTATGTATGTGAGTATATTGCCTGCATGTGTGTGTGTATATGCACCCATGTCATGCATTGCCTGCGGAGGTCAGAAGAGGGCATTGGATCCCCTGGAACTGGAGTTATAGATAGTTGTTAGCTGCCATGTGAGTGCTGGGAATTGAACCCTGGTCCTCTGTAAGAGCAGTCAGTGCTCTTAACCACTGAGCCATCTTCCCAGCTCTTACTCCGTTTTCTTTCAGTCCCTTTGCCTATCCCTTTTCGAGAAGTATAGATAACTATATTATGAAAGCTGAGGAAGAAATGAAAGACCTTGATCCAGCCACTATTAAAAATCATAGGCAACTCATTTCATCCAAGTTTCTGTTTCCACATTTTTATTACAAAGCATATGTCTTCCGATTTTATGTTACAATGATTATTTATTTTGTATTTTGGAAAATGCAAGGTTGCCTTATCTATATAATTTAATTGGGTTGATTGTGTTATCACTCCAGAATAGATCCCTTTGTGCATCAAAAGTGGATCAACTCTAAATACTAATAATTTTCATATGCTGTGTGCTTTTGCTTCATTAAAAAATAATTGTCAGCTCTTGCCTATTAGGGTTGAGGTTTCTGCTTAATTTCTATCTAGAATTATCGATGCTGTTACATGCTTATCAATTTCATACAACTTTCTGGTAGTGAGTTTGGTGCTGAGGGAATTATAAACTGGAATTCTGGTTGTGATAATTATTTACAAGTCTAGTGGAGAAGATAGAATAATTTAACAAGTTATTACTTTAAGTAATTTTAGTTACATTTATTTATTTATTTATTTATTTATTTATTTATTTATTTATTTATATGTGTGTGTACCTGAATGTGTGCATGTGTGCTACAGAATGCATGTGTGTGGAGGTCAGAGGACAGTTTGCAGGAATTTGTGACCATGTGGCTCACAGAGATCAAACTCAGGTCATCAGGCCTGACAGCAAGTGCTTTTTCCTGCTGAACCATCTTGCTGGCACACAAGTGATTTCTTATACTTGTACTAAGTTTGAGCATGTACAGAGAATCTGGGGTGTTACATAGGGAGAATCTTCCAATTTGTGATGTAAGGAAAAGCTTTCCAAGAAAGCTGAACTGCACCTAAATTGACTTTTGAAGAAATAGAATTTAGGAGAAAAATGACCAATGAATTTTAATATGTGAAAAGATTTTCAGTACTTTAACAGTATAAGGTGATTTGTCAGTATAAATTTTATTAAAATGTTTGCTTGTTATATACTAAGTGATGTTGGACAGAACAGCCAAGTGTTTGAAAGCTTTTCCTTTTTAGTGAGTTGTCTCAGTGAAATGCCTTTGGGATAAGAGAGCTTATAACTTTTCATTGTAACCACAACCCATTTTGCTCAGTGCCTATTCATACTAGAAAAAAAATGCTAATTTTTTAGGCCTCTGTCCATTTGATAACCTCATCAAAGGGAGAATGGGTAGAAAAGTGTCTACAAAATCTTTTGCATCTGTTAATAGATGTTCAGTTTTGAGAGAGGGAGAGGAGTCAAGGAGTCCAAAGGGAGAGGGAGGAAGGGAAAGGAGAAAAGTAGGGGAGGAGGAGAGGGAGGAAGAGAGGGAATATCTTGTGGTAAAGCAAGTTGAATAAATTATGGATTAGTATTAAGTAGGTTTATTTATTGCATGATTTTTTTTTCTTTCTTTTTTTTTCTTTTTCTTTTTGAGACAGGGTTTCCCAATAGCCCCAGCTGGCCTGGAACTCGATATGTAGACCAGGCTGGCCTTGAACTCAAAGAGGTCCTCCTGACTCTGCCTCCTGAGTGCTGGGATTAAAGGCATGCACCACCATGCCTGGCTTATTACATGACTTTAAAAAAGCGAATGTAATATGATAATGTATATTGTGGCTCGGAGAAGATGGCTCAGTGGGCAAAGTGCTTGTGGTACCTGAGTTTGGATCTTCAGCACCCATGTGCAAAGCACTCAGAGTGAAAGGGGAGGGAGTTCTAAAAGAGGCAGATTTTGGAATTTGTTAGACCAGCCAGTCCAGCAGGATCAGTGAGGTTTAGGTTCAGTGAGAGACTCTGTCTCAAAAAATAAAATGAAAGTTGGGAGTGGTGCTGCACACCTTAGATCCCAGCACTTGGAAGGCAGAGGTAGGCGGATCTCTGTGAGATTGAGGTCAGGCTGGTCTACTACATAGCAAGTTCCAGGCCAGCTGGGGCTACAGGGAGAACATGTCTAACAACAACAACAATAATAATAATGTAGAGAGTGATAGATACCAATACTTTGGCCACCACACATGCAAACATAGATAGACCTGTGATGTATACCACATACATGTGCATACACACACATGCACCATACATAAGATTTTAGAAGAGAGACTGTGTAACATATGGGAGTTTTTCCTTTTTTTCCATTTCTTTTTTCTTTTTTTCTTTTCTTTCTTTTTTTTTAAAGAGAGAGTCTCCTATGTAGCCCATAGTGGCCTCAAATCTATAATTCTTTTTCTCCCAGGTACCTGGATTACAGGCATGTGCCACCATGCCTAGCCAGGTCCTTTATTTTTGTGGACTGTCTTGTGAGTCATGATTAGAATAGTTTGGAAAGACTACTTTGTCTAGTCCAGGGTTTCTCAACCTGGGCACCGTTGGTATTTTTAACTGGGTGTTTCCTACTCATTAGCTGCTAGTGGCACTCCCCAGTGGTGACACACTAAAATGTATCTAAATATTTGCCAGATGTTCAAGTCAAGAACCACTGGTTTAGACTGTAAATTCCTTGAGGATAGGGTCTCTGATTTCTTCCCTGAGTCCATAATAGACATAGATACCTGACAGATGAATCCTTTTGTTTTTTTTAAAGGTCTCACTCTGGAGCCTGTCAGGCAGGGGTAGAACTCACTCTGTAGTTCAGCCTGGCCTTGAAATGGCATTCCTTCTGCTTCAGCCTCTTGAGTATTGGAATTACAGGTGTATGCCACCACACCTGGCTAAATTGTCACAGTTCTAAAAATATCAGATTATAGAATAGGAAGCATAGCACAGTTGTTTCAGTTTGATACTGAAAAAATAAGGCATTGATAAATGGGACTGCTGTTTAATCCCTTACTGTTTGTGCAGCCTATAATAGTGCAGGGTAATTTGTAAGAAATGAATGGTCCTTTTCTAACTATGAGGGTGATGGCCCCTAGAGGTTAGAAAGTGTTTCATTTTATTTTATTAAAAATTTTATTTATTCTTGTGATGGCAAGAATTGAACTAAGAGCCTTGTACATGCCAAACAAATAAATACTATCATACTATCACTGACTCATATCCCTAGTCTATTTCTCTCTCTTTCTTTCTCCTCCCCCCCCCCAGGGTACTTCTGTTTAAACTCACAACTAGGTAAGTGCACTGAGCTGTGTATACCTAGCCCTGATTTTATTATTTTTATTTGATTTATTTTTTGAGACAGGGTCACATTATGTAGCCCCAGCTGGTCTGGAACTCAGTATATACACCAGGCTGACCTCAAACTCAGATCTTCCTGCCTTTACCTCCCAAATACTGGAATTAAAGGTATGTGCTACCACACCTGGCTGCTGATTTTATTTTATTTTATTTTTATTTTATTTTATTTTATTTTATTTTATTTATTTTTGTCTTTTTGAGACAGGGTCTCTCTGTAGCACCAGCTGACCTGGAACTGACTATGTAGATGAGGCTGGCCTCGAACTCACAAGGTTCCACCTGCCTCTGCCTCCCAAATGCTAGGATTATGCACCACCACACCCAGTTCTGATTTTGTTTTACTTAAATTTCTTTTTAAAATTATTTTTATTTCATTTTATTTAGCGTGTGTGTGTGTATGTGTGTGTGTGTGTATGTGTGTATGTATACACCGCAGCATATAAATGAAATCAGTTCTCCTTTTTGACCTTGTGGTTCCACTTGGGGATCAAACTCAGATTGTCAGGCTTGGTGCTTGGTGGCAAGTATTTTTACCCACTGAGTCATCTTGCCTGCTGCTATTTATGTTTTATAGACAGACAGGGTCTTGCTATGTAGCCCAGGCTGTCTTGCCTTTGAGCACATTTTTTTTTTTAAGACAGGGTCTCACTTTGTATCCCTGGTTGACCTGGAGCTCACTATGGAGACCAGGCCTCACACTTGGAAGTCTGCCTGCCTCTGTCTCCTGAATGTTGGGATTAAAGGCATGCACCACCATACCCAGCCAGCCCTTGAACTCTTGATCCTCCTGTTTCAGCCTCCTGAGTGCTAGGATTATAGGTGTGTGCCATGTGCCATACTACAAATGCCTGACTAGGTGCCTTTTTTTTTTTTAAGTCTTTTTGGGATAGAGTCTCCCTGTAGCCCCAGCTGGCCTGGAACTCACTATGTAGACCGGGCTGGCCTCAAACTCACAGAGCTCTACCTACCTCTGCCTCCCGAGTGCTGGGACTAAAAGCATGTACCACCACGCCCGGCCTTAGGTGTCATTTTTAAATGTATATAATATTGTAAGCTTAGCTACTGAGCTTCTAATGATCATGGCATGTTTCATGTGATAGCCAGTGCCTGAGAGGAATTTGTCATACTATCTTATCTAATTTTGATATTCCCTATAGTGAAAGTGATAACAACATGGCTATATATTTAGAAATATGGAGAACTTTAGCACATTAAACAACCAAATTTTTATATCAGACTATGTTTAGTGACTAGTAAAGATCTCAATAATTACAACTGTCATATCATGAAGGGAATATTCTCATTATTACCAAATAGCAGAGTATATATCTTTTGATCTCTTTAGGCCCTCCAACTAGCCTCTTCCAGCCACCTCGTCGTCCAGGCCTTGGAACTGTTGGGAAACCAATTCGACTGTTAGCCAATCATTTTCAGGTTCAGATCCCTAAAATAGATGTGTATCACTATGATGTGGATATTAAACCAGAAAAACGGCCTCGTAGAGTCAACAGGTAAGGATTGGGGAGAATAGACTTCTATATGTCTAAGTACCTGTATATAATTTATTGTGTTGTGTGCCATATTGTTTTCTAGACTTTGTTTTGAATCTAGAATGGTAAGTGTATGATGTCCTCTGACATCATCTGGCAGCTCTGTTGGATATATTATTGGTTAGTAAGTAAATATATATTGTTTGATAAAGTATATATATCATTGGTTGCTCATTGATCAAAGACACTAGAAGTTTATAAAAATAGATGACGTTAGTGCCTGGGAAGTAGAACTGTCTGGAGATTAATATTTTTATCTTATCTTAGATGTCATACATGAAGTGTAAAGACTAAAGAATTGTCTTGGAATAGTGAGAAAAGCAAGTTCCAGGAGAGACCCTGTTTATTTCTAGCATTATTCAACAGGGGTTTTGATGTGGTAACATGTTTTGTGGTGGGTATGGCTAAGTTTCCAAGTATCAAGACGCCCTGTAGAAATATATACCCTTACTTTCCTCTTTGTGGAAATGCAGGAATACTCCAGCAGTCTTTGATACTAAGATTCTTGTTTTTCTGAGGATGTTTTTGCTGCCAGGTGACTATTTTGACTGCTTCATTTTTTGTTTTTCATTATGTAGTAATAATTTGACTTTCTGGTACCATTCAGTTTTATGTAAATCCATAATTATTTGGCTGGTGTATAACTAAAATCAACATAATAGACATGGTAATAATAGCTCATTTTAATCTGTCCAACAAATACTGTATTTTATTGGCTTGGTTTTCTGTTTATTTATTTATTTACTTTTTTTTTTAATATGGAGTCTTATGTAGCCCAGGTTGGCATTGAACTCCTGATCCTCATGCCTTTACCTCTTGAGGACTGGAATTACAGGCATGCACTATCATACCCAGTATGTGTTTGCCTTTTTTGAGACAAGGTCTCACTATGTAACCCACCTGGCCTGAAACTCACTATGTAGACTAGGCTGACACCAAACTCACAGAGATCCACTTGCCTTTGCCTCTTGAGTGCTGGGATTAAAGATGTGGCCACCATGCCCAGTGGACATGTATATTAGACATGCTAAGGTTATGATGTCTATTAGATGTGCTAGTAGAGATCCTGAGCAGGTAGTTGGATACGTGAAGTTGGATTCAGGAGAGACATGTATGCTGGAGATAGGTATTTGAGAGTGGTGAGCATATTGTTGGTAAAGCCACGAGACTGGATGAGATCCGTGTAGGAAGTAATCATGGTTAGAGAAAATCAGACTCCAGGACTGCACCTTGAGGTCTCGGGTTGTAGGTGTGGACCACCACACCCAGGTCAACAATACTGGTTTGAGTGAGCTATGTACTACTGAGTACTGCTTTGTACTGTGAGACTACAACATGAACAAAACAGGCAAATCCTTGTCCTTTAACTGGAATTAAAATCTTCTAATAATTAACCAAAATGGTGAGCATTAAGGGAAAGAGGAAAGGCGTGCAGTGCATGTTCTCTAGACTTTTAGAAAACACATCTGGACTGGAGAGATGACTCAGTGGTTAAGAGCACTGGCTGCTCTTGTAGAGGACCTGGGTTCGAATTCCAGAACCCACAGGATAGCTAATAACTCCAGTTACAGGGGATCCAACAAACTCTTCTGACCTCTAGGGGCATTGTGTTACATGGGTGCACTTACATATATATAGGCAATACACTCATACACATAAAAAAATAAAAAATAAAATATTTAGAAAAAGAAAACATGGAGCTGTTCCTTTAGACATATAGACATAAAGCCACAGGAAAAGTAAAATTGTACTCATCAAGGGAATAGGTACTGTTCAAAAAAGAACACCTACAGATGTCACCATGTAAATCAGAAGCAGCTACACTCTTACTCAGCATGCTACTGGCATTGTTATAAGTAACCATATTAAGGGCAAGATTCTTGTTAAGAGAATGAATGTATTGAACATATCACCTCTCCTCTCTCTCTCTCTCTCTCTCTCTCTCTCTCTCTCTCTCTCTCTCTTTGGTCTTTTTGAGACGGGGTCTCCCTATAGCCTCAGCTGGCTTGGAACTCCCTATGTAGACTAGGCTTTCTGTGAGCTCGAGGCCAGCCTGCCTCTCATATTAAATTCTCTTAAGAGCTGAATATGATCAAAAAGAGAAGGAAGCCAGAAAAGAAGGTGCCTGTGTCAACTGACATGCTAGCCTGATCTATCCAGAGGTGCACACTTTTGTGAGAACTGATGGAACAGGAGTGAGCTGCTGGAGTCTATCCTCTGTGAATCCATAACATACTAGGTGTGGGGGTGCGGGTGGGATAAGAGTCCCTCTAAACTGTTGAGGGTTTTTGATATTTTGTTTGTTTTTTGGACAAGGTTTCCCTGTAGCCCCGGCTGGCCCAGAACTTTCTATGTAAACAGGTCCTGTCTCAATGCCCTCCCCCTCCAAACCAAACAAACCAACCACCAAGATGAGAAGTTATCCTTTTTTAATATGAAAAGAATGTATAGCTCTTAAGTTAGCTTTTTGTGTTTTTTTTTTCATTTTATGTATACGAGTGTTTTGCCTGCGTGTATGTACGTACACCATGTGCAATGCAGTGCTCACAGAGGCTAGAAGAGGGTGTCAGATCTCCTTGAACTGGAGTTATGGATTATTGTTAGCCTCCATGTGGGCACTGGGAACTGAACCTGGCTTCTCTGCAAGAGCAGCCAGCTCTTAACCACTGAGCCATCTCTCCAGCCCTAAGTTAGCTTTTCGTTAAACTGGGGAATATATATTACATTTCTCCATCAACCTTTTCCAGTCATGATTTGGTTTGTAAATGTGACTTTCCCACAGATTTTGTTTATAGTACTATTGATGCATTAACTAGTTGTGATTATTTGGGCTAGGATACAGTTCACATACCTGGAGTTCTCTCAGGTTGGTAAGATAGGACTAGAGAAATAGCTCAGTGGTTAAGAGCACTTCCTACTCTTGCAGAGACCTGAGTTCAATTCCCAGCACCCAGATCTTGTGGCTCAAAACCCCTGAAACTCTAGCTCTAGGGTATTCTCTTCTGGCCTCTGTGGGTACCTACACTAATACATGCATACACACACATAGATAAAAATAAAATATATATATTTTAAAGGATGGTAAGGCAAAGCACCTAACTATTGATTAACAGTAGCATTCAAGAACATCACAGCAGGGCTGGAGAGCTGGCTTAGTGGTTAAAAGCACTGGCTGTTCTTGCAGACAACCCAGGTTCGATTCCCAGCACCCACATGGCAGCTAACAACTATCCATAACTCCAGTTCCAGGGCACTCTGACATCCTCTTCTGGCTTCCCTGGGCATTGCACGACACAGGTGCACCTACCTACATGCAGGCAATATACTCATAAAATAAAAATAATATTTTAGCCCTGCATGGTGGTGCATGCCTTTAATCCCAGCGCTCGGGAGGCAGAGGCAGGCGGATCTCTGTGAGTTCCAGGCCAGCTGTGTCTACAGGGAGACCGTGTCTCAAAAAGTCCAAAAAAAATTTTTTTTAAACATCACAGACTCAGATCTGCCATATCCTATACCATATACTCCATTTTCCTTACCACTATATTTATTTCAGGGTCTGCATAGAGTGAACTGGGCTATATGCAAGACTGCTTAAATAAAGCATTGACTGAGAGAAAGGATTTTACCCAATAGAAACTGGCTCAGTGGTAAAGAGCACTGACTGCTCTTGCAGAGGATCCAGGTTCAATTCCCAGCACCCACCTGGCAGCTAGTGACTATCCCTAACTCTAGTTCCAGGGAATCTGACACCCTCTTCTGACCTCCATGGGCATTGCATAACACAGATGTATATACATAAATGTAGGCAATACACTCATACACATAAAATAAAATAAAAATAATAATTTTTTAAAAAAGAAACATCATTTAGTGGTAAACATTTGAACAAAGTTTAAATGAGTGAAGTAAGTTATTTTTTTAAATATTTTATTATTTTTATTTTATGTATATGAGTGTATTGCCTGCATGTATGTGAGTGCACCTGTGTCGTGCAGTGCCGAGGAGGTCAGAAGAGGGCTTTGAATTCCCCTGGAACTGGAGTTAAGGGCGGTTCTAGCCGCCATGTGGGTGCTGGGTCCTCTGCAAGAGCAGTCAGTATTCTTAACCACTGAGCCATCTCTCCAGCCCTGTGAGTTATTCTTATAAGGCATATTACTTAAAAAAAATTTATTTGTGTGTGCCAGCTTGTGCCATGGCAATTGGAGGTCAGAGGACAGCTTGTATAAATTGGTTGCTCATGTGAGTTCCAGGGATTAGCAGCAAGCACCTTTACCTGCTGAGCCATTTTACTAGCCCACTTACATTTTTTTAATTTTTATTTTTGGAGACAGGGTCTTAGGTTGCCCAGCCTGGCCTCAAAGTAGGTCAAGATAACCTTGAATTCCTGATCCTCCTGCCTCCACCTTCCCAGTGTTGGGATTTCAGGCCTGTATTACAGTGCTTATTTATTGCTACTTTTCTTTAGCTTTAAAAAAAAACTACTTGAATTGGCTTTGTAACTTTGACATTTTTCTAGTAGTATCAAATTGAATTGAATTGATTTTTCTGGTAGTAGCAAGTTGAATTTAGATGATGAAGGTGTGGTGACACTTTCCTTACTGTTCATCATTTCTCAAAGCTAACTGTCACTGTCTCCATTACTGTCCAGGGAGGTAGTAGACACTATGGTGCGGCACTTCAAGATGCAAATATTTGGTGATCGGCAGCCTGGCTATGATGGTAAAAGAAACATGTACACAGCACATCCACTGCCAATTGGACGGGATAGGGTAAGTGTTGCAGCAAGAAGCACTAGGTTATGTAAAAGTGATTGCAGATGACAAAATGTTTCCCTCTCCACTCACACTTACAGTCCTTTTTTTTTCCTTTTTAACTTATTTATTGAGTATGTGTATGTGTGCAGGCATGTGTGTGGATGTGCCCTGGTGCATATGAGGGTGTCAGCGGACAACTTGCAGAAGTTGGTTCTCTCCATTTACCATGTGGGCTGTAGAGACTGAACTCAGGTTGTCAGGCTTGCTAAAAGCATCTTTAATTTACTCATTAAACCATTTTGTTGGCCTATTTTTTTTTTGGTCATGTTGGGGCTTGAACTCAGGGCCCCACTGAGTAAGGTAAGTGCTGTACCACTGAGCTGTATTCACAGCCCCTTCTTAGGGTTGTCTCTCATTGTTATGATAGATTGGTCATTCTTTCCACATTCTGTTGTCTCTTACTTAGCTGATAATTAAAGATGAGAGGAGCACTAGTGTTTATGTTGATTTTGTGATCTTTATATATATCCCCAATATTTCATATTAACAATGTACTTTAACACATTGCCCTCTAAACCTAAGTAATGGAAGCTGGGTGTGGTGGGGCATGCCTTTAGTCACAGCACTCAGGAGGCAGAAGCAGGAGGATCTCTGTGAGTTCAAGGCCAGCCTGGTCTACATAGCAAGTTCCAGGCCAGCAGCTAATGGAGTTTTTATAGTTCTTACTCATGAAAATATATTCATAATACCACAGTACTTTAAAAAAATTTTATTAAACTATTTTATTTATTATTTTTATTTTATGTGTATGAGTGTATTGCCTGCTTGCATGTGAGTGCACCTGTGTTGTGCAATGCCATGGAGGTCAGAAGAAGGAGGTCAGAAGAACGCATCGGATTCCCCTGGAACTGGAGTTAAGGACAGTTCGTAACTGCCATGTGGGTGCTGGGAATCAAACCCAGTCCTCTGCAAGAGCAGTCAGTGCTCTTAATTGCTGAGCCATCTCTCCAGCCCCATACCACAGTACTTTTTAAAAGACTTATTTATTTATTTTTGTCTTTTTGAGACAGGTTCTCCTTGTAGCCACGGCTGTCCTGGAACTCACTATATAGACCAGGCTGGCCTCAAACTCACAAAGATCTGCCTGCCTCTGCCTCCCAAGTTCTGGGATTAAAGGCCACCATGGTAGCCACCATGCCCAGCCAAGACTTATTTGTTTTTAAAGTCAGGTGTGGTAGCACACACCTTTAATCCCAGTACTTGGGAAGCAGAGGCATGTAGATCTCTGTGAGGCCAGCCTGATCTCCATAGCAAGTTCCAGGCCTGCTAGGGAGACCCTGTCTCAGAAAGACAAAATAAATAAATAAATAAATAAAGACTTATTTATTTTTATTTTAGGTGTTTGAGTGTTTTGCCTGCATGTATGTAAGTGCATCTGTGTCATTCAGTATCCACAGAGGCTAGAAGAGGGTGTTGGAGCCCTTGCAACTGGAGTTACACAGTTAGCCGACATGTGGGTGCTGGGAGCTGAACCCAGCCAGTGCTCTTAACTGATGAGCCATCTCTCCACAGTACTTTCCTAAACATTTATTTTAAAAGTAAAAAAGTAGCCAAGTGTGGTGGTGCACGCCTTTAATCCCAGCACTCGGGAGTCAGAGGCAGGTGGATCTCTGTGAGTTCAAGTCCAGCTGGTCTACATAGTGAGTTCCAGAACACAGCTGGGGCTACAGGGAGACCCTGTCTCAAAAAAAGACAAAATAAAATAAAATAAAATAAAAAAGTAAAAAAAGTGCTGGGCATGGTGGCATACACCTTTAATTCCAGCACTTAGGAGCAGAGGCAGATGGATCTCTCTGAGATGGGGCTGTTCAGGGGTCCAAAAAATTCCCTGAATTGACCACTCGGACACTGAGACTCAGGAGAACTTAACTGCTTTATTGAAACCGACCTGCCAGAGACACAGGCAGGCTCAGGAGCTGCACTGCGACCCAGAGCTGTGGAAACGCAGGGTTTTTAAGCACAAAAACTGCAGAGCAAGGGATTTCTATAGAAACCATAACAGATGTACCAGGAAAGGGTTCGAACAATCTAGGGCTGATTTCCAGAGCCTTAACCTATACAGCCATTGGCTAGCTTACTGGGGCAGAACGCTCTTCCTCTTCTGCCCCAGACCATTTCCATAGAAACCATAAACAGATATACCAGGAAAGGGTTCAAACAATCTAGGGGATTTCCAGAGTCAGGCGGAGGGTAGCTCTTTCTCAGAGGACAGGGAGGGGGTCTGAGGGGCACTCTCCTTCATTCCCTCTTTTGTTTTGGAAATTTTCTTGAATCAAACCATTGATTCATATGTGTTGTCTAGGGGATTGTAATGGGCTCTCATAACCATCAGTTGTACAGTGGAAACCCTTTGTTTAACAAACTTGAGCATTAAAGATACAGGGTCCAAAGGTTAACAGTGCTATAAGGATTAAGAGGAGACTGGCCAGAGCAGTGATAAGGGTGGTAAGCCAAGGTGACCAGGAGAATAGGGACTCAAACCAGTTTTGGGAACTTTTTCTGAGTTCTTCTCTTTCTAAAAGACTCTTTTTGATCTGGGCCAGGGTGTCTTTAATCACATGCGAGTGGTTGGCATAAAAACAACATGTAGAGTCATGCAGAGTCCATCTTCCTTGAGAAAAAGCAAATTGAGGCCCCTTCTGTTTTGTAAGACTACTTCAGCTAGTGAGCCTACCTGTTGTTCTAAGTAGGAGGCAGTGGCATGTAATCTCCTAATATCTTTATCAACCTATTCGCTCAAGATTTTCAAGTTTCGGTTACTGGTGACCCAGGCTGCTGTTCCTATGGCGACAGACCCTGCTATCCCCATTCCCACAAGGAGGGGAACTAAAATGGAGGCTGCCGTGGCTCTTCGAGGCCAAGAGAGACCCATATAATGTCTTCCAGCATCCCATTCATAGTAATAAACTTGGGGCATGACATGTACCAGGACACAAAATTCCTGTCTCCCTATGAAATACTAGGGGTGCAAACAAGGGATTAGGCCAGAGGAGCAAGCAAACCAAGCAGAACAGGAGGCAGCAAGCAATTGGGTGTCTCCTATAGACCAAGTGTTCCCGGGTAAAGTATAGGACTGATTACAAACCCCGAGGTAGGGAGAAGTAGTCAAAGGATATTCTTTGGAATTCCTCCCATTTTGCAGTGAGGGCAAAACCTATGTAGTAGGGTGGTCGGGGATCCAGGCAGAGCCAGCAGTTTTTGGTAAATAGGGTTCCAGGGTCCATGCCAGATACACAGGCCCTCAGTCCCCATGTGCAGCCCGTGTCCCATTTCTGACCCATAGTAAAGGCATCCCGTTGTTTTAGGGTTGTGATAAGAGGGTTACAGGTCTTGGGGACTATACAAGACCTATTTTTTTCCAATTGAATATTATGTATGGATTTTGTCGTTCAAGTGGATACCATGTCGGGGCCCATGTCTCACCATCCCAGTAAGCACAGTAATAGCTTCCTTCTTCATCAGAGTCAGTCCCGGTGTTTGCCAGGCATTTATAGAAGGCAGTTCCTAAGGCTTTTTCTGCATCTATGGTGCCGGCCCTACATCCAGTACCAGGTCGCTGTGCCATCACTTCCCCATGACCACCCATTTGGTATCCCTCATGTTTTCGGGTGGCCTCTCTACCCAATGTTGACCATAAAGAACATAGGTCGGTTTCAAACCAGGAAGCAATCTGAGGGTTAGGAGGTGTCACCTCCATAATAACCTTCTCTGTCTGTGTATCAGATAATTTCCAGACATAAGTCTGGGGCTGGTAGACTCCTTGGGGGACTGTCCCATAGGGTAGAGTCAGCAGGAGCAGAGTCAAAGCAACACTGGGGGAACAGGTGAATTGTCTTTTACAAATCAAAGTTTCAGGGAGTCTTCTGGGTGATGTTGGACCTTCCATTTTTCTTGTTCAACCTGGGCAGGATTGATGTGTGAGTGATGAATCCAGGTGCACAGTCCATCCACCTTTACTGCCGTGGGAGTCGTCAGGATCACAGTGAATGGTCCTTTCCACTGAGGGGCCAATGTCTCCTTCTGATGTCACTTTATCCAGACAGTGTCTCCAGATTGGTAAGGATGTGGAGTAGCTGGAGGTAGTTCGTACACATGCCAGATGGGGGCGGTGCTCCTGTATAGCCTGTAATGCCCTAATAGACAGGAGGATTTCATGATTAGCTATTTCAGCCAACAGTTCTGACTTTAATCTTGGGACCAGGGGAGGGGGTCTTCCGAAAAGAATCTCAAAAGAAGTTATTCCCTGGATATAGGGGGAGTTTCTAACCCTGAGGAGGGCAAAAGGGAGGAGAGTCACCCAGTCTGCACCAGATTCTAACGTTAATTTAGCCAATGTCTCCTTAAGGGTCTGATTCATCCTCTCTACTTGTCCTGAACTCTGGGAGTTGTGTGCACAATGTAGTTTCCAGTCTGTCCCCAGGGCCTTTGCTAAGGCCTGAATTACCTGAGAGATGAACGCTGGTCCATTGTCAGATCCTAACACCAGGGGCACACCAAACCTGGGAGTGAGTTCATCTAGCAACTTCTTGGCAACTATGGTTGCTGTTTCCTTCTTGGTGGGAAAGGCTTCTACCCATCCTGAAAAAGTGTTTACAAAAACCAGTAAATATTTATAGCCAAACAAGCCCGACTTTACCTCAGTGAGATCTACTTCCCAGTGGACTCTGGGGGCAGTCCCTCTTTCATGTTTTCCTGAGGATTTATCATTTTTCGGGTAGGCATTATTCATCTGGCATGCCATACATCTGGAAGTGATGTCCTGTATTGTAGCTGTTGAGGAAGGAAACTGGAAGCATCTGGTTAGTAATGACCTGATCTTTTTTTTCCCATGTGGGTTCCTTCATGGAGTTAGTGAACTAGCATTTCCCCCAGGCAGCAGGGCAGGATGACCTTGCCATCTGAAGTGTGTCTCCATCCTAAGGGGACATTATCCATTTGGAATTGTCTGGAAATATTTGTCATCCTCTTCTGTGTATGAAGGCTTTTCAGGTAATGTAGGATCTGGCAGGGTTGGAGAGCAGGTTCGGACGGGGATTCTGCTATTTCCTTGGCAACTTGATCCACCTTTTGGTTTCCTCGGGCCTCAGGTGTATCGCTCTTTTGGTGTCCTGGGCAATGAATGACTCCCACCCTTTTGGGCATCCATATGACCCTTAACAAATCAGTGATCTCTTGTTTATGTTTACTAGTCTTTCCTTCTGATGTCAAGAGGCCTCTTTCTCGATAGATGGCCCCAGGTACATGAACAGTGGCAAAAGCATATCTACTGTCAGTGTAAATGTGACAATCTTTCCCTCTCCCAGTCTTAGGGCCTGAATCAAGGCTATCAGTTCAGCCTTTTCTGCAGAGGTTCCTTTGGGCAGGGCTTCTGCCCATAGAATGTCCTCCTGGGTGACTACTGCCGCCCCTGCATACTGACTCCATCTTTCATGTAACTACTCCCGTCTGTGACCATCACCAAGTCAGGGTTCTTCCATGGTATGTCGGTGAGATCAGGTCAGCTTCCTTGGACATGCTGCAGCAGTTTGGAGCAATCATGATGCACAACTGTCTCAGACTCAGTCTCAGGGAGCAGGGATGCAGAGTTTAAGGCACTGGTCACTGCATATGTCAGGTGGGGCACATCTAGTAGGAGAGACTGGTAATGAGTTAATCTTACATTTGTGAGCCAGTGACCAGGCGGTGCCCTCAGCATGGGATTTGGTCACAATCAGTTGTCCCAAGGTGAGCTTATCAGTATCCTTAACTAGGACTGCAGTGGCCACTATGATCTTCAAATAGGCTGTCCATCCAGCCACTACTGAGTCTAATTCTTTTGAGTGGTAGGCTATCGGTCTCTTCCAGGGGCCCAAAATTTGAGCAAGTACGCCCTTTGCTACACTAAACCATTCATCTACATAAAGGTAGAAGGGCCTTGAGATGTCAGGTGGGACTAGGGCTGGTGCAGATGCGAGGGCCCGTTTTAGGTTGTCAAAGGCCTGCTGTTGTTCTTCTCCCCAGGAACATGCTGAGGGATGCCCCCCCCCTTGTTACCTCATATAGAGGCCTGGCCAGCTCTGCAAAACCAGGTATCCACAGGCGACAATATCCAGCTGACCCCAGGAATTCTCTGACTTGTCTTTGACTTTGGGTAATGGGGATGGCCAGGATGGCCTTTTTCCTTGCAGAGGAGAGCCTGCGCGTACCCTCTTCCAATTGAAACTGCAGATGCTGTACCTCCTTGCAGATCTGTGCCTTTTTAGCTGACACCTTGTACCCCAGGCATTGAAGTTCCTTCAACAAGTCTTTTATAACCTCTAGGCAAGAGGGGCGGTCATAAATGATGAGGAACAAATCATCCACATATTGCAAAAGAGAAACTTGGGGGTGGGAAGTTCAGAACCCTTGGAGGTCTTAATGCAAGGCCTCGTCAAAGATGGTGGGAGAGTTCTTAAACCCTTGCGGAAGCCTTGTCCAGGTCAGTTGGCCACCGAACCCTTCTTCAGGATCTTGCCATTCAAAGGCAAAGATGGGTTGGCTCCCCTTGTCCAAGGGGATACTGAAAAAAGCATCTTTCAAATCCAGGATGGTATAACTTGTCCTGTCAGAGGCCAGGGAGCTCAGGAGGGTGTAAGGATTAGGCACAGTGGGGTGTATGTCCATGGCTCTCTTACTCACCTCTCTCAGATCCTGCATAGGTCTATAGTAGGGGAGACAAGCCCTGACTCCCCTCAGTCTTTTACCTTTTGAGTTCCCTCAAGTTTCCGAGGACAATCTCTTATCCTATGTCCCATCTCCTTACAGTAGGCACATCGGTCTCTCTTTAGGGGGCTAGCCTGAGGGCCCAGTCCCCTCTGCCAATTCTGATCTCTGGGTGAATATCTTCTGGGGGGATGTTCACCCTCTCTTAGAGCCAAAGCCCATGCCAGTTTTCGATTGTGATGTTCCTCACGTTCCTCCTGGGTCTCATGGTTATTGAAGACTTTTTGGGCTATTTCAAGCAATTCAGAGAGACTCTTGCCTTCGAAGCCTTCCAACTTTTGCAGTGTCTTCCAGATATCAGGAACAGACTGGGTCATGAAGGCAAAGGCAATGTTTATTGCTAGTTGATTTTCTGATGCCTCAGGATCAATAGGAGTGTAAGCCCTGTAAGCCTCCATAAGCCTCTCCAGGAACTGTGCTGTAGCCTCTGTCTGTCCCTGAAAAACCTGACTGACTTTTGACAAATTTGTAGTCTTTTTAGCAGCATCCCGGAGACCCCCCATAAGAATCTGGTAGAGTTTGAGTGACTTCCTACCTGCAGGAGTTGTTGGACATCATCCCAGGTGGGCTGGTGAGCAAGAAAGATAGTCTCCAGGAGCCCAATTAAAGCCTGGGGTTTTTCAGAGAAAGGAGGATTTTGTAATTTCCAATTATAAAGATCACTGGTTGAGAAAGGAGAATAAACAAGAAAATTGTGGCCAGAGGAATATGGCAGGGGCCATTCGAGAGAACAAAGGGTATGGAATTTCCCCATAGACAGTGTCTCCAGAGATTGCAGCCACCTTCTGGAAATCCTTAAAATGAGAAAGAATTAAGTCAAGGGGAATGTCTTCAGATGATGGGGATTGACCCATGGTGGAAAAGAAAAGGATTACGTCGAAACAAACAAAAAAAACGAGAAACAGACAGATTGGGTAGATCCGTTCAAGACTTGACTGACACAGAACAAAGGCGCTGTGCGTTGGAGAATCACTGTGAGAGCGATTAGGGTTGACACCGAAGGCCTGGAGGGCACAAGCGGTCAACCATTCAGATGGAGGGTTGGGGCCTCCCCTGTCCTCCGCTCAGAGAGTAGTACTGTGTTCAGTTTCTCTCTCTTGAGCCCCCAGAAGTCTGGACACCCAAAACAAATCAAAACAGACTCACCATGGGAGAAACCAGATCTGATGTTGTCCGGCATCAAATGGAGGACAAAAAAGACAGGAAAACAGACCGAGGGTCTTTTAGGGAATCCTGGACAGAACCCCCAAAATGTTCGGGGTCCAAAAAATTCCCTGAATTGACCACTTGGACACTGAGACTCGGGAGAACTTAACTGCTTTATTGAAACCGACCAGATGCAGGCAGGCTCAGGAGCTGCACTGCGACCCAGAGCCGTGAAAATGCAGGGTTTTTAAGCACAGAAACCTCAGAGCAGGGGATTTCTATAGAAATCATAAACAGATGTACCAGGAAAGGGTTCAAACAATCTAGGGGATTTCCAGAGTCAGGTGGAGGGCAGCTCTTTCTCAGAGGACAGGGAGGGGGTCTGAGGGACACTCTCCTTCAAGGTTAACCTGGTCTATATAAGTGAATTCCAATTCCAGGCCAGCTGGGGCTACAGGGACACCCTGTCTCAAATGAAAAAGAAAAAAAAATAGTATATGAGTGCTTGTACCTTTGAATTCCATTTTTCTTGTTAAAGGAAAGTATGTAATATTTTGATACATGCCATTTTTGATATTTTATGTATATTACCTATTTATTTGTAAGTTTATATAAAGTTGTTGTTGTTTTGAGACAGGGTCTAAATATGTAGCCCTGGCTGGCCTGGAACTCCTGTGTAGAATAGGCTGGCCTCCAACATCCACCTGCCTTTGCCTCCTGAGTGCTGGGATTAAAGGTATGTACCATCATGCCCGGCCTTGTTTATAAAATTCTTATTTTTCTGCATATCATTCTATGATTTGTTTTTTCATTCAACATTTACATATACCTTATCATTTTTTTTCAAATTAAATATTTCTTTGAAATAGGGACTCAGGCTGGCCTTGATCTCATGATCCTCCTGCATCAGCCTCCTGAATGTTAGGATTACAGGCTTGTTCAACCACTCCACTTTTAAGCATATAATTCTCTGGCATTAAATGTTTTGTATCCATCACCTCCATCCATTCTAGAACTTTTCTGTTATCTGCAATAGAAACTTTGTACCCAGTAGACAATGATTTCCCCATACTTCCTCACCCCCTCACCCTCATAACCATTATTCCATATTTTGTTTCTATGAGTTTGACTATTCTAGGGACTTCATTTAAGTAGAGTCATAGAATATTTGTCCTTTTGTGTCAGGTTTATTTCACTTAGCATAATGTTTACAAAGTTCATCCATATTGTAGTATATACCTTATTTTATGTATTTATAAATTTTCGTTTGTTTTTATTTTTAAATTAATTTTATTTATTTTGATTTTATATGTATGTTTTGTCTGTATGAATGTAAGTGCATCATGTATGTACAATGCCCATGAATGCCAGAGGAAGGTGTTGGATCCCCTGGAACTGGAGTTAAGGACAGTGTAGCTGCTTTGTGGGTGCTGGGAACTGAACCTGGGTCCTCTGCCAGAGCACCCAGTGCTCTTAACTGCTGAGCTATCCCTCCAGCTCCAAATTTCATTTATATATTTTATTTGTGTGTATATGTGCATGTGCAGGTGCATGCATGCTATAGTATACATGTAGAGGTCAGAGAACAACTTGTAGGAGTTGGTTCTCTTCTTCTATCATGTGGGTCCTAGAGATTGAATTCAGATTGTTGGACTTGGTGATGAATGCATTTACCTACTGAGCCATTCTCCAGGCTCTTATTTTTAACTATTATATAATATTCTCTATTAAATCATTTCCTTATTGGTGGATACTAACGTTGTTAAAAGTTTTAAAATAAATATCCTTTATGCATATACCATATAGAATATTCTTGGGATCTTTCCCACAGCCCCCCCCCTTTTTTTGAGACAGGGTCTCCCTATAGCCCCATCTGGCCTAGAACTCACCATGTAGACCAGGCTGGCCTCAAACTCACAGAGATTTGCCTGCTTTTTCCTCCCAAGTGCTGGGATCACAGCCATGCACCACCACACCTGGCCTCCTACAGCATTTATAAACATGTTTGTATGTATGTATTTTTCCCTAGGTTGATATGGAGGTGACCCTCCCAGGTGAAGGTAAAGACCAAACCTTCAAGGTATCTGTTCAATGGGTATCAGTTGTAAGCCTTCAGTTGCTTTTGGAAGCTTTAGCTGGGCACTTGAATGAAGTTCCAGATGACTCAGTACAAGCACTTGATGTTATCACAAGGCATCTTCCATCTATGAGGTTAGTACCTTACTTTGAATCCCTTCCCACAAATGTCAGACTTTTTGATAGATTGTACTATCAAAAGGTTTCTGCCAAAGCCGGGCGTGGTGGTGCACACGTGTAGTCCCAGCGCTTGGGAGGCAGAGGCAGGTGGATCTCTGTGAGTTCAAGGCCAGCCTGGTCTACATAGTGAGTTCCAGGACAGCTGGGGCTACAGGGAGACCCTGTCTCAAAAACAAAACAAAACAAAATAAAAAAAAAAGGTTTCTGCCTAAGTCACAGTTCAAACTTCCTTTCAGTTCACAAATTGAGAGTGAAATGAAAGACTTCAAAATATTTGTATAAAGTATTCAAACCCTTTTCCTTCAGGTACACTCCAGTTGGCCGTTCTTTCTTCTCACCTCCTGAAGGTTACTACCACCCCCTGGGAGGGGGCAGAGAGGTTTGGTTTGGCTTTCATCAGTCTGTGAGACCTGCTATGTGGAATATGATGCTCAATATTGATGGTAGGTTGGAACTCTCTATTCATGAAGTCTGTCGGGTTTTCATGTGTTAGGTTTGAAACCTCTCTTCCCTGATACTAAATATCCTTTCTCTTATTTGTTAGTATCTGCAACTGCTTTCTACCGGGCTCAGCCCATCATTGAGTTCATGTGTGAAGTTTTAGATATTCAGAACATCAATGAACAGACCAAACCTCTAACAGACTCCCAGCGTGTCAAGTTTACCAAAGAAATTAGAGGTAGGTATTTGTGTTAATGCCATCTTGGGGTGAGAGCTAACACAGTGGAGGTAACCTGGGCTTAAGTCAGACAGACCTGAGTTCCCATCCCAGCCTAGCTAATCCTATCAGTGGAACTGTGGGTATAGTCCATTAACCATCGTTAACCACAGTGAATCTTAGTTCATTCAGATTACTCATTGAAGGGCTAAGGATGCAGCTTAGTAGTAGAGTACTTGCTCAGCATGCACAAGGCCATAAATTCAATCCCTAGTACCACAAACACATTATTCACGTGAGAGGTGAAAATAATAATGTATACCTGCACAATTGTGAAATCATCTCTTTTCCTTTCGGAATTTCTCTTCTCTTTATCTGTTATTAGCTACCTTCTCTCAGGAGAGTATAAACTTCATGAGGATGCTCTGCAGACTGACAATAGACATCAGAACATAGCTGATACTTAATATTTATAGAATGAATATTAAGGTTTATTAATAAATATAAGGTTGGGTAGTCAGTCATGGTGGTGCATACCTGTAATCTCAGTACTTGGGAGGCTGTGGCAGGAAGAACATGAGTTCAAGGCTAATCTACATGGGGAGGCTGTCTCTTAAAAAAAAATAGGTTGAACATCTTAGATCATCTGGGTCCTAATTCATTCTACTTAGCTGAGACTTTTTTTACCTTTAAATGTTGAAATTGTCCCCATTTCTTACAACTTTTATCCTGTTCAGTATCATGACTTTTTGTGTGTATGTGGAGAAATCTTTATCATCCACAGTAGGTAAGGAGAACATGGGAGTTTTTTCTAAAGTAATGCCCCCTGTGACTTTTTTTTTTAAGTAAAAAAGGAAATATCAAATTTAATTTAAAGAAAAATAATCAGGGGGCTAGAGAGCTAGCTCAGAGGTTAAGAGCACTAACTGCTCTTGCACCTGGGTTTGAATCCTAGCACCCACATGGTGGGGTGCTATTTTATACACATAAAATAAAAATAAATTAATTAAAAAAGAAAGGTGCCATTTAGCTTAAGAAGTTCTAAGTTACTTCCAAATGAATTGTTTTTTTTTTTTTTTGGTATTTTCGAGACAGGGTCTCCCTGTAGCCCCAGCTGGCCTGGAACTCACTATGTAGACCAGGCTAACCTTGAACTTGCAGAGATCCACCTGCCTCTCCTTCCTGAGTGCTGGGATTAAAGGTGCTACCACGCCTGGCCAAATGAAATTTTTTAAGGTTCAAGAATTCTCAGGTCATTTCTTAGTATCAAAATATGTGCAGGCTTCTCTCTTTGAAAGTATTGTACATTTGAGAGGCAACTGTATAATATCTCAAATTTCCTACACAGGATCAATTCTTTGTTTCAGCCAACTCTCAATGGAGGGGCAACTAGAACACCACCACCTCTCTAGATAAAGAGCACTGAAATATTCTGTTTTGTTAATTTGTATATGTCTTCATTATTCTCTATCATAGTCAGAGTTTCTTCTGCATCCCCCACTATCATATCTAAATCTTGGTCAGAAACATATAACCTGCCTTGAAACATTTCTCATCAACACATAAGTTCGCTCATCCGGCCAGAGCCTGATGGGATCCAGTCTCCTCTACTGTGTTGGTAGTCTGTTGCTGATATACATCATCTACCATTTTTTAAACTCTCAAACTCTATGCCCCTCCTTGCTTTTTTTTTGTGTGTGTGTCTTTTTGAGACCTCTCCAACTATGTGTATTTGGCTAGGTTTACAGTACCACACATGAGTTTCCTCCCATTGAATGGACTTTAAGTTCAATTAGGAAGTTATTGATTACCCCCAAGGAAAAAGTGCCACTACTTCACCAATATCGTTTTCTGTGCCAGTCATTGATGTGGTTATTGGGCCTTGAAGCTGGGATTGAACCATCAATTGATGTTCTCCCTTACCAGCTTGTATAGTACTCTTCAAAGCTTTGAGAACTAGCCTTCACGGGAGGTCTCCCAGGTCAGTTCCATTTCCATTGCTCCAAATCCTGTGTCCGAAGTATGTCCTGTCTTTGGCAATAGGATCTTACCTTCAAGTTCTGGGAGGCAATCAAGGGTTGTAACAATAGCCTGTGTAATTTTGGGAGACTCTTGGACTACCCTGGCCAAGTGACTATGAGTTTAATGAAAAGTGATTTTTTTTCTCTCTTCAGGTCTCAAAGTGGAGGTGACTCACTGTGGACAGATGAAACGAAAATATCGAGTTTGTAATGTGACTAGACGACCAGCCAGTCATCAAACGTATGTTAATCATATCTAAATAATAGGAAGCCAATTGTGGTGCTCACACCTGTAATTATAACACTTGTATGACTTAGGCAGGAGAATCACTATGAGATTGAGGATAGCTTGGGCTACAGCATGAGCCCCTGTCTCAAAAAACCACAAAACAAAGGAAAAAAAAACACAAGTTAACCGTAAACTAATATGGTAGCAATTTGATAACAGAGGAAGCTACAAAAATCATTTGAGAAGTTGATGTACTGTAATATATATTTTCAAGATCATCAGAATCTTCACTTAGCCCTGAAATTTAAAAAAAGTTTTAGATACTTTTGATATAGTTGTAAAATGTACTCAGTTTACCTTTTGAACTGAGTGTCCTAAACGTAGATCAATTTGTATTTAGGAATGTAATCATCAGGTACTAGAGAGATGGCTCAGTACATATAGTACTTACTGCTCAAGCATAAGGGCTTGAGTTCAGATCCCCTGCACCCATATAAAAGCTGGGTGCACTCATATAAAAGCTGGGCATGGTGGTGTGCATCTGTAAGCCTAGTGCGGGTGGGACAAAGAAGACAGGTAGATCCCCAGAGCTTGCTGGCCAGCCAGCCTAGTCAATAGGTGAGCTCTGGGTGCAGTGAGAACCCTGTCTCAAAAATAAGATGGCGAGCAACAGAAGACACCTGATATTGACCGTTGGCCCCCACACATACATATGCACATGCACACACATATACTGTATACATATACACACAAACAGAACTAAAAAAGTTTAATAAAAGAATGCAGCTGAGCCAGGCTTGGTGGCACCTGCCTTTAGTCCCAGCACTCGGGAGGCAGGCAGATCTTTGTGAGTTCCAGGTCAGCTGGGGCTACAGGGAGATCCTGTCTCAAAAATTAAAAAAAAAAAAAAAGTACCTAAGAATCAGTATAAAGCACATATTATGTAACCAAAACTATGTTGAGAGATAGCAAATCATAGACACAATGTGCTGAATCTCAGTGCTGTCAACAGCGTGGAGCTCCACAGCTAAGAGATCAAGGGAACAGAAGCAGAACAGAGCTAAAAAAGTCTCAGAGTGACACAAAAATTCACTGTAATTTCCATGAGGACATTTGGGGACACAAATATGAATATATATGTACATATATATATATAATACAGCACATGTAATCAGGCATGGTTGTAGTAAGGGGGATACAGATAAGGAAGGGGATTTATGATAAAATATATTGTATAAAATTCACAAAAATGCAATAAAAACCTTTTAAGAGTTTCAATGACATCATCAAAAAAGTCATATGAAAACACAAAAGACCTTAAATATTCAAACCAATCCTGAGAGGAAGGAGCAACAGCTGACCAAAATAGCCACAGAGCTCTAATAATAAAAACAGTGTGGTACTGCATAGCATCAAACACATAGACCAAGGGATAGTCAGCTTTCCAGAGGTAGGACC